CTGTTAGTGAATCCGTGTTGACGTTCCTGTATAGATGTAGTTCTTGCAGTACTTATAATAGTGCTAGAGTTTGAGTTGCAGTGAAACGCATGTATACACTGCAGACGTCTTGAGACCAAAGCAGCAGCTAGGAAAAGCTCGATTGCACCTAAATCCCCCAGCTACTTCGCTTTCCAAAACCCTAAACCCCAAGCCCTAACCCTAAACCCCTAAACCCTAAACCCTAAACCCTAATTGAGGGCTGAACCTTGAGCCGTATAGAGCCCGCACCAGCTTCACAACATCGGCTCGCGATTTCCCCTGCGCCTCCAGCTGGCCACGATTCCAGGACAAAGACACTCAACTCTCTTGATGTTGTAATGCGAAACATTGGTATGACCTTCGTTCTTGTATTTCATTCTAAACCCTAAACCCTAAACCCTAAACCCTCAAAAGCGAATTCTGCTGCCCATGCCTCAAGCGTTTAGCCGAGCCAAGAAGTTGCTTAGCTCACGAAACGCTGCGGGCCTGAACAGTTAATTACCAAAACAAGTTTGCTTTTTTGGGGGGTTCCGTTGTGTGAATATTGTATACTATACCCCCAAATTGACCCCAAAACCCTGTTCCGATTTTCAATCCCCCTATATTCACCCAGGGTGTCGGGGGTTTGTGGGCTAGGGTCTGTGGCTTCGGTGAAGGGTTTAGGGTTGGATCCTTGCTGGTCCCTCCAACTAGGCGGCGCGGTTGGCTATCGTGGGCTCGGCTGCGCCGCTCGCACATCTTTTCCGCTAGGGTTCAGGGCCCAAAACCCCCAAACCCAAAACCCCAGAACCCTAAACCCTACATAAACTCCTAAACCCTAGAAGCCCTGTAAAAAACCCCAAACCCCAGAACCCTAAACCCTAAACGCCTAAACCCTAGAAGCCCTGTAGAAGACCCCAAAACCCCAGAACCCTAAACCCTAACCTCCTAAACCCTAGAAGCCCTGTACAAAATCCCCAAAACCCCAGAACCCTAAACCGTTAGGGAAAGCTGGGGTTGAAGGGTTCAGGTGATCAGGGTTTCCCTTGAGCAACCCTAAGCCCTAAACCCCTTGAGCCTTGTCTCAAGCTGGAACTTCGGGCGACTGAGGGTTGGGATTCACGGGTTTTAGGGTATAGGCGGTATGGGGTTCAGGGTTTTAGGGTGTAGGGCTTTGGAAGTTTAGGGATGATTGGGGTTTAGGTTTAGGGGCTAGTGCTAGGGGTTTCGGGTTTAGGGTTTTTGTAGGGTTGACATTAGGATGTTGGTGTGTGCAGTTATGTAGTCGGGACCACCGATGAAGCAGCTGTCGGAGGATGACTTCACTCTTCCGGGGTCAATCATTCCGCTGGATGACTTCATGAACCCGGACGGGAAAAACTCTCCTGAGCTTGGGAACATCACAGTTGACAACATAACGAAGCGCATCGATCCTGGGATCTTCAAAGCAGGGACTGACTGTGAGGCGGTCTTGTCGCGCATTTACAGTTCCAGTGTTCGCTTGAAAGGGGCCCCTCCTCGACGGTCCCCAGGAGATTATGTCGTTGACATCAACTCATGGGAGCGCCACCATATCAGCTCAAGATCCCAGCAGCAGGGCGCATAAGTGGAATGCCTGTGTCAACAATTATCTAAGTTTGAAGCCATGGGCCCCTAGTATGGGCCCTTAACCCTGGGACCCTAATATACCTACTATATACCTACTATATACCCTTAAGGGACCCTGGAATCCCCTAAGGGCCCATGTTAGGGGCCCATACTCCTCACCTTAGAAATTACCGGGGTTGTGGACAAGATTGAGATGAAGGACGAGCACTGCCATGGCCAGGGGCATGGGTTTCGCATCAACTCAAAGATTTTCCCGGGATGGGGAAATCATTGAAGACAGAAACTTAGTGGCTGAGTAGGTAGCCTTTAACCTTTTGGGGCTCTTATCATCCTACTATAGTTCAAAAGGTTAACCTTTTTGGGCTAGGGTACTCAGCCTGTAAGGAAATGCTGGCATAAGCCAACTGAAGAGTATAAAAGGTGCTCGTGGGACACCGGCACGCAAGACCCGACTGCAGACATGGTCTTTTGCCAGCGCTGGGGTTTAGGGTTTAGGGTTTAGCGGGTTTAGGGTTTAGGGTTTAGGGTTTAGGGTTCAGGGTTTAGGGCTTTTCAGCACCATCAAGCACCCTAAACCCTATACCCTAAACCTCAAGAGTGGCCATGTTGAAGCCAACATCTCAGTGGGGTGCTCACCGGCTGGTGGGTTCGGATTGAACTGATTCTCAGATTTCTTAACTTAGGGTTTAGGGTTTAGGGTTCAGGGTTTAGGGTTTAGGGTTCCCTCAAGGCTAAACCCTAAACCCCAAGCCCTCAAGCCATAAATCAAAAAAGCTTCCAACACCCTGTAACTAGCCTGATCTCCCTTAACCCTGAACCCTTTTCTTGCCGAAATTATCGCTTAAATCCGGGACCCTGAAACCATTGTACCCCTAAAACCTAAACCCTGAACCTCTAAACC